GGCCAGCATACTAAATGCCTTCTTCACCACCCTGTCCACCTGTGACACCGCTTTCAACGAACTATGTCCTTGTACTCCGAGGTCCCCCTGTTCCACAACATTCCTCAGGACCTTACCATTTACTGTACAAGTCCTACCTTGGCTTGACTTTCCAAAGTGCAACACCTGTATTGAACTGCACTTGCCAATCGTCAGCCCACTTCCCCATCTGATCAAGATCCCTCTGTAATTTTTGATAACCTTCTTCGTTATTAACAGTACCTTCTAATTTTGGATCATCTGCAAACTTACTAATCATGCCAGCTCTGGGACTACTGTGTGCCCAGTACAACCCCTACCACTGGCCCTCCAAACAAGGGAGAATCTGACCACTTCCAGGCTTTTCAGCTGAGCCAGCTTTCCGGAGTCAGGAATTTTCCCATCATTGCACATCCGACTTGGGAGTGAAAGGTCAGGTCTAAACCGCGCATTAGAGTGCCAAGTACTTGTGCAATGGGGAAACACTTACAAATCCACTTCAATGCTGTATCCAGGGTGAGTTTCATCCATAGAGCAAAATAGAATTTCTGGAGCCAGGTATCCTGGAGTCCCGCACAATTCTGTATTCAACGAGAACAGAAGTTGCTCAACTAAAAGTTGTAATTGACATCAGGTTGCGAAGCATTCAACATGTGCAATACATATATTCACACAGCATGGAAATAGATCCTTGGGTCCAACCAGTCCATGCCAACCATGGTCCCAAACTAAACTAGTCCCACCTGCCTGTACTTGGTCCATATCCCTCCAAATATTTCCGATTCATGAATTTATCCAAATGTCTTTTAAACGTTTTAGTGTACCTAAGTCCACGACTTTCTCTGGAAGTTTATTCTATGTAAAAACTTTGCTCCTCACATCCTTTTTAAATTTTCCTCCTCCGACCGTAAAAACATGCACCTGAGTTTTGAACTTGCCCACTGTAGGGAAAAGACGCTTGCTATTCACCTCATCTATGGCCCTCATGGTTTTAAAAACCTCAATAAAGTCACCCCTCAACGTCCTTCGCTCCAGTGAAAAATGCCCCGGCCTTTCTCGTCTATCTTAAAACCTCCATTCCTGGCAACATCCTGGAAATAAGGTAAACAAGTGGGGATGTTTTAGACTGCATACACATTACCAGGGAGGAGGTGTTTGCAGCCTTAAAGCGCATTAAGGTGGATAAATCCCCTGGGCCTGATCCTCGGACGCTGTGGGAGGCTATGGAAGAAATTGCAGAGGCCCTTGCAGAGATTTTAGCTTCATTTTTAGCCACTGGTGAAGTTCCGGAAGACTGGAGGGTGGTTAATGTTGTTCCATTGTTTAAGAAAGGTAGCTAAGACAAGCCAGGGACCTACAGGCCAGTGAGCCTGACATCAGTGGTAGGCAAGCTATTGGACAGGACCAACCAACATTTGGATAGTCAAAGTCTGATTAGGGATAGTCAGCATGGATTTGTGCACGAGAAGTCATGTCTGACAAATCTTTTAGAGTTTTTTGAAGAGGTAACCAAGAAGATGGATGAAAATAGGGCAGTGGATGGACTTTAGTAGGGTCGTTGACAAGGTCCCGCATGGCAGGTTAGTCATGAGGGTTAGGTCACATGGGGTCCAGGGAAAGCTAAATTTTTGATTCAAAATTGGCTCGATGGTAGGAAGCAGAAGGTGATGGTTGAAGGTTGTTTCTCGGGGTTGGTGCTGGGACCTTTGTTATTGACAAAAATGATCTGGATGTGAATGTACACGGCATGACTAGTAAGGTTGCGGGTGGTACAAAATTAGGAGGTATCGTTGACAGTGAGGAAGATTATCAAAAATTACAGAGGGATCTTGATCAGATGCGGAAGTGGGCTGAGGACTGGCAAATGCAATTCAATCCTGATAAGCGTGAGGAGTTGCACTTTGGAAAGTCAAACCAAGGTAGGACTTGTACAGTAAATGGTAAGGTCCTGAAGAGTGTTATGGAACAGAGGGACCTAGGAGTACAAGTACATAGTTCGTTGAAAGCGGCGTCACAGGTGGACAGGGTGGTGAAGAAAGCATGTAGCATGCTGGCCTTCATAGGTCGAGCATTGAATATAGGAGTCACTCTAGGAGTAAAAAGACGTTATGTTATAGTTGCATAAGTCGTTAGTGAGGTGCAACAAGACCTGGGTGTCATGGTAGAGCAGTGGCTGATGGTTTGCGTGCAGATGCAGCAGGCAGTGAGGAAAGCTAATGGTTTGCTGGCCATCATAGCGAAAGGATTTGAGTATCGGAGGAAGGATGCCTTGATGCAGTTATACAGGGTCTTGGTGAGGCCACACCTTGAGTATTGTGTGTGCAGTTTTTGTCTCATAGTCTGAGGAAGGGCATTCTTGCTATTGAGAGAGTCCAGCGAAGGTTCACCGGACTGATTCCCAGGATGGCAGGACTGACATATGAAGAAAGACTGGATCGACTGGGCTTGTACTCGCTGGAATTTAGAAGAATGAAGGTGCATCTCATAGAAACATATAAAATCCTGATGGGACTGCTCAGGCTAGATGAGGGAAGATGTTGGGAAAGTCCAGATAAAGGGGTCACATCCGAAGAATAAGGGGTAAGCCATTCTGGGCTGAGATGAGGAAGAATTTCTTCATTCAGAGTTGTGAACCTGGAATTATCTGCCCACAGACAACTGTTGGGACCAGATTTTTAGTAGATTCAAGAGGGAGCCAGACATGGCCCATACAGCTAAAGGGACCAAGGAGTATGGAGAGAAAACGGGAGTGGGATACTGAAATTGGATGACCAGCCATGATCATATTGAATGGTGGTGCAGGCTTGAAGGGCTGAATGGCCTACCCCTGCACCTATTTTCTATGTTTCTATGTCCTTAATGAGTACTTTGCATTGGTACTCACAAAGGAGAAGGATATTGATAATGCTAAGGTTAGGGTGGGCATTGTTGATATTTGGGGGCATGTTGATATCAAAAAGTAGAAGGTGTTGGGCATCTTATAAACATTCAGGCAGATAAGTCCAGAAGACCTGATGGAATTGATCCCAGGAAACCAAGGAGGCAAGGGAGGAGATTGCTAAGGCCTTGACAGAGATCCTTGTTTCACTTTAGCCACAGGTGAGGTCCCAGAAGTCTGGCAAATTATCAACACTGTTACTATAAGAAGGCAGCAGGGATAATCCAGGGAGTTATAAGCTAACTGATGTGAGCTTTCCATCAGTGGTAGAGAAATTACTGGAGGAGATTTATAGAGAGGATTTACTCACATTTGGAGAAAATAGAAGTATTAGGGAGAATCAGGATGGCTTTATGAACAGGAGGTCTTGTCCCAAGCTTGAGCTTTTTGGGGAAGTAAAGAACTTGACTGTTGAGAGTAGGGCAGTGGATGTTGTTTACGTGGATTTTACTGAAGCATTTGACAAGATCCCTCCTTATAAGCTGGTCCAGAAGATTAAGTCACATGGGATCTGTGGTGAGTTGGCAAGTTGGATACAAAAGAAGACAGAAGATAGTGTTGGAGGGGTGTTTTTCTGACTAGAGGTCTGTGACTAGTGGTATTCTGCAAGGATCAGTGCTGGGGCTTTTGCTTGTAATTATATATATAAATGATTTGGATGAAAAGGTAGGTGTTCCGATTAGTAAGTTTCCAGATGATATTGAAAATTGGTGGAGTTAGTGAGGAAGCTTGTCAAAGGATACAACAGGAATTAGACCTATTAGAAAGTTGGGCAGAGAAATGGCAGATGGAGTTGAATCCGGACAAATGTTAGGTGATGCATTTTGGGAGGTCAAATTCAAGAGGAAAGTATGCAGTAAGTGGCAGGATCCTTAAGAGCATTGATATGCAGAGGGATCTTGGGATGCAAGCCCTTAGCTCTCTGAAAGTGGCAACACAAGTGGATAAGATAGTAAAGAGGACATACAGCATGCTTGCATTCATTGGTCAGGACTTGAATATAAAAGTTGGCAAGTCGCATTTGCAGCTGTATAAAACTTTAGTTAGGCCACATTGGAATGTGTGTGCACTTCTGCACACTGCACTATAGGAAAGACGTGAAGGCTTTGGAAAGGACTCAAAAGAGGTGATGAAGGGTCTAGGCCCGAAACGTCAGCCTTCCTGCTCCTATGATGCTGCTTGGTCTGCTGTGTTCATCCAGCTCTACACCTTGTTACCTGGATGATGCCTGGATTGGAGTGTATTTACTATCTGAACAGGTTGGACAAACTTGGATTGTTTTCATTAAAGCATCAGAGGCTGAGGGGTGACCTAATATTGAGATGCATGGATAGGGTGGACAGTTAAGAGCTTTTTCCAAGGGGTCAAATACTACAGGACAAAGGTTTAAGGTGAGAAGGGGAATTTTAAAGGAGATGTATGAGGCAAGTTCTTTTTTTAAAAACAGAGGGTGGTGGGTGCCTGGAACATGGTGCTCGAGGAGATGGCAGAAGCAGATACTATAGCAACGTTAAGAGGCAGTTAGACATACACATAATCAGGCAGCGAATAGAGGGATACGGACCATGTGCAGGCAGATGGGATTAGTTTAGAATGACATCATGGTCAGCACAGACATGGTGAGCTGAAGAGCTTGTTCTCTGTCCTTTGTCTGTCTGGGCTACCCCAATCTCCCAAATAAACAGCAAACATTTGAGAATAAACATGAAGCAGCAACAAGACCAGTCAAGGCATTTTTTTTGATTTGATTTGATTTATTGTCGTCACATGTACCTAAGCACAGTGAAAAGCTTTGTTTTGCGAGCAGTACAAGCAGATCACAGCAAACAGGGACATACAGATCATAGGGTGCTTAGACAGAGCGAGGCACACAGTCTACACTGCACAGGAGGTGCACAAAGCAAGATCAACATTATTTGAAGTTGGAGAGTTCTATTCAGCTGTCTTATAGCAGCAGGGAAGAAGCTTGAACTTGTTGGTGCGTGTGTTCAAGCTTCTGTATCTTCTGCCTGATGGAAGAAGTTGTAGGAGAGCATTACCAGGGTGGGCGGGGTCTGTGATGATGTTGGCGGCCTTTCTGCAGCAACAAGAAGTGTAGATGGAGTCCATGGAGGTTGGGGGTTGGAGTCCATAGATGGAGGTTGGCTTCTTTGGTGGTCTGGGCGGTGCACACAACTTTCCGTAGTTTCTTAGGTCCTGGGCAGAGCAGTTGCCATACCAAGCAGTAATGCACCATTTCTGCTGTTTCTGTTTGGTTCTGAGAATAATTAACCTCCTATTTAGTTATGTCTCTATTTGGATCTGTACACCTTCATGGTTAGGATTGAGAGCAGTATGAATTACCAGACTTCACTTGTGGAATAATATGCTACATCACGCTGCAGGGCAACAGCATAGACAACACTAAAAGGATTGTATGTCCATCATCAACTGTAGTCCTCTAAGGGGGTGTGGTGAAAGGAAGGGTCAAAAAGAGTTCTTGAGAACAATACATTTTTCTTTTTATCTGCACTCACCCCAACACACTATCCCCAAAACACAGAGTGCTTGCACCATAGGGCCAACACAATGAGATCCAAACACTGACATTAATCAGAGTGGGATTCAAAAGGGATATTATATATCTGGACTTCCAGAAGGCAATTAGCAAATTCCCCCATACAAGAACATTGACTCTCGCCAGATAAGGAAATTAACTCAGCTCAGGTGACAGAATCACGGGATCGGGAAGCTATTGTCTCTGCTTCTACCAGCTCTGCTGGCAATGCCTCCAGGCATTCCAGACACCTACTACCTTGTGTAAAAAAAACTTTCCTTGCACATCTTTAAACTTTTCCCCTCTCACTTTAAACTTATGCCCCCTAGTATTTGACATTTCTACACTGGGAAAAAGACTCTGATGATCCACCCCATTCATACCATTCCTCATCATTTTATACACTTGTATCAGGTTGCCCCTCAGCCTCAGATCTAGTGAAAACAATTCAAGTTTGTCCTATCTCTGCTTATAGCCAATACACTTCAATCCAAGTAATATCCTGGTGAATCTCTTATGTACCCTATCCAAAGCCTCCATATCCTTCTGATAATGTGGTGAATAGGACTGCACAGATTATTCCAAAAGTGGCCTAAGTAAAGTTTTATACAGCTGCAAACGTGACTTGCCAACTTTTATACTCAATGTCCTGACTGATGAAGGAAAGTGTGTCATACGCCTTCATTACCAACTTATTCACTTTTATTGCCACTTTCAGGGAACATTGAACTTGCATGCCAAGATCCCCTATATCAACGCTCAACATTATTCATAAAATCCCTACAGTGTGGAAGCAGGCCATACGGCCCATCGAGTCCACATCGACACTCCAAAGAACATTCCATGCAGACCCACCCCCTGTCCTATCCCTGTATCTCCCATGGCTAACCCACCTACCCTGCACATTTCTGGACACTATGGGCAATTTAGTATGGCCAATCCACTTAACCTGTACACCTTTGGACTGTGGGAGAAAACTGGAGCACCCGGAGGAAAACCACACAGATGGTGGACAAATATTCAAAATTTCATATAGACAGTCACCCAAGAATAGAATCAAACCCAGGTCTCTGGTGCGCTGAAGCAGCAGTGCTAACCACTGAGCCACCATGCCACTGCCAAGGCACCATGCTTTATTGGAGCTACACTTATCCAAACAAGTGGGGAGCATTCTATCACATTAAATTGTGCCTTGTATTGGGAATCTGGTGGGGATTTATTCCCAACCTGTGATCTGCTCTTGTAGCCACAGTATTTAAAGGGATGATCCAGTTAGGATTGTAGCCAATTTCTTGCAATTCCCATTATTTCATACAGACTGTAGTGCGTGTACAGAATGAGCTGCCAGAGAAAGTGATGGAGGTTGGCACAATTAAGACATTTAAAAGGCTGGGTATATGAATAGGAAGGGTTTTGAGGGATATGGGCCAAATGCTGACAATGGGACTAGATTTATTTAGGATATCTGGTTGGCAAGGACGAGTTGGACCGAAGATTCTGTTTCCATGCTGTACAGCTCTATGACTCTATGTTAAGCACATGGGTTTACCAATTATGGGTTTACCAAATGCCACTGAAGGAGAAGATGTTAGATTCTTTCATGTTCGAGATAGTGACATTTATAAATAACTTAGATTTGTGTATAGGAGGGATGATCAGTAAATTTGCAGGTGATACAAAAGTTGCTGAAGTGGTAAATAGTGTGGAGGGTAGCCTTAGAATACAGGAAGATACAGACAGGTTTGTCAGATAGGCTGACATTGGATGATAAAACTGGTGCAAGTACAATGGCCTCATTCTGCACTCTAATAATTCTGTGATTTTTTTTCTGAACTCCTAAAAAGCTCCAACATCACAAACAAATCTCTCTGTAATAGAATGGCATATGGGATACTTGCCTTTATTAGTCGAGGCATAGAGTTTAAGAGCAGCGAGGTTATGCTGGAACTGTATAAACATTGGTTAAGTCACAGGTACAGTATTATGATTAATTCCAGAATCCACATTATAGGAGGGATGTGATAGCACTGAAGAGAGTGCAGAGGAGATTTACCAGGATATTGCTGGGCTGGAGAGTTTCAGTTTTGAAGACAGATTGGAACAGACTGGGGTTGTTTTCTGTTACAGCAGAAGAGAATGAGAGGGGACATGATTGAGATGTATAAAATGATGAGGGGCATAGAGAGGGTAGATATGAAGAAACTTTTCCCCGATTCAGGGCTCAATGACTATCAGAGGAGGGGAGGTGGTGTAGATTTAAGGGACAGAAGATTTACGGGGGAATATGAGGAGAACCATTTTTCAACCAGAGGGTGGTGGGAAATGTGGAACTCACTGCCTGTAAGGGCGGTAAAGAAAACCCTCATTACATTTAAGAAGCATTTAAATATGCACTGGCAATGCCAAATACTCGAAACTGGGATTAGAATAGTTAGATGGTTGCTTTTGACTATTGCAAGAGGGCTTTTTTTGTGTTGTAGACCTTTATTACTGTTACATCACATTACCCGGTCATCACACTGACCCACCTATAATTGCCATGAGGGTGTACAGCATAGATTTGCCGGAATGTTCCCTGGATTCCAAGGGTTAACTTCAAGGAGCGATTGCGTAAACTAGATTTGTGCTCCTAGGAATGCAGATGGTTAAGGGCTGATTTGATTAAAGATTCCACAGATATCAGTCTTCAGCCAATTTGATTCACTCCATGTAATGTCGAGATGTGGTTGGATGTACTGGATTCTGCAAAGGCTATGGGTTGTGTCAAGGTCCCTCTCAGAGTCTTTCATTCACTTGTGGTCTCAGTCTCCCAGTCTCTGACTCTTCATCTGATGGCCATGTTAAAAGGCGAGAGTAGGAAGTTTAAAAGATGTGCAAGGCACGTTTTTATTAAAAAACAGACGGTGGTAGGTTTTTGGAATGCACTGCCTGGGGAGGTGGCAGAAGCAAATAGGAGAGCACTGTTTAAGAGGCATTTAGGTAGACACACAAACAGGCAGGGAATTGAAGGATATGAATCATGTGCAGGCAGATGGGATTAGTTTAGAATGGCATCATGGTCAACACTGGCATGATGGGCTCAAAGGTCTGTTTCTGAGCTGTACTGTATGTTCTATGTATGGCTCTCAGTTCCATCCAAACTCGTTCTAATACATTGTTTCCTGGGTAGTTGAAATATTTCTTATTTTTCACTTCACCAGGGTTAGTGAATAATCACTGTTGGTTTGTTTAGTCCTTCTGAGCAACTCATCCCATTCCCAGACAGGACTCACTTACCTCGCAGTTTTTTGCCTTGTTCAAGTTGTAATGAAAATCCAAAGTCAGACAACTTGATGTTCATGTTATCATCAAGCAGGACATTTTCAGGCTTGAGGTCTCGGTGTACAATGTTCTTGGAATGGAGGAACTTAACCACCTCGAGCAGTGCTCGCATGATGTTTCTAGAAGCAGAAATGAGTTTTGTTTTAACACTCGAATCAGAGATAGTAGGAACTGCAGATGCTGGAGAATCCGAGACAACAAGGTGCAGGGCTGGATGAACACAGCAGGCCAAGCAGCATC